GAAGTGTCAAACGCGCAATGACGACTCGTTGTTAATCCTCAGGGGTGAACTGCTTCTCAGAGCAAGTCTTCCTTGGCTGGGCCACTAGAGCGCGCCAGAACGCAGTCACACAGGGCCCGGCGAGCCAAGACCGCGACTGCCCCAAGCTCTGAGAGCAGCAGGGAAGGCCACTATGATTCAGTGCTGGTGGACCACCAGCGAGACAGAGACCAGACCCGTGACAGAAGGATTCACCACCACGGCGGTCCGCCCGGAGCTCAAGCTCTTACTGATGAATAATACAGACCCGGTTCAACAGCTTTCAAACCTACAACTGACATTAAAAGACATTCATCTGGACAGCAAGAAGGACCTACAACTAGAATATGCAACTATGTACTGGGGGGCTGTGGGGAGAAGAAGGAGAAAAAGAAAAAACAAGATTGGCAACAGTTGTTAGCTCAGGTGCCAATCTCTTAAAAAAAAAAAAAAAGACATTAATCCGGGCCGGCCGGGGGCTGAATGGTTAAATTCGTGCGCTCCACTTCAGTGGCCCAGAGTTCCGCTGGTTCGGATCCTGGGCGCGGACACAGCACCGCTCATCAGGCCACACTGAGGCAGCGTCCCACACAGCACAACTGGAAGGATCCACAGCTGGAATATAGAACGATGTACTGGGGGGGCTTTGGGGAGAAGGAGGAAAAACAAAAAAAAAAAAGGTGGGCAGATGTTAATTCAGGTGCCATCTTTAAAAAAAACCAAAACAGTAATCCAAGTCATACATAGCAAAAAAACACGTGATTTCGTCCTTTAGAAAATGAGGCCACGTTAATGACAGGTTAAACTTGACTCTTTCAGGTTTGTTAAAAATTACAGGGGAGGAGAAGGGGGAAGATAAGGAGGGAGAGAAGAAGGAAAGAGAGGAAGAGATTCCCCACTCAATCCAATGTGGAGATAAATCTTACACACCTCACATAAATCTCAACCAATTAACTAACAATACAGAGCAGCAACATATCATCGTTTCAACCAAGAGATTTTTTTTAAGGCACAATTCCATGAGCAAGAATCTCACTCTGATCTAATAGAAATTTGTTTCATCTCTGATTTTAGTTCATTGTAAGAAGTAATGCTTCCCAACGCCACTACTGACCAAAAAAACAAAACAAAACAAAACAAAAAACATGGTGCTTAACAGTCCCTACAATCTCAGTGGATCTGTTTGCCCATAAAAAATACCATTCAAGGGGCCGGCCTGGTAGCGCAGCAGTTCAGTTTGCACGTTCCGCTTCGGGGGCCTGGGGTTCACTGGTTCAGATCCCAGGTGCGGACATGGCACGACTTCGCACGCCATGCTGTGGCAGGCGTCCCACATACAAAGTAGAGGAAGATGGGCATGGATGTCAGCTCAGGGCCAGTCTTCCTCAGCAAAAAGAGGAGGATTGGCAGTAGTTAGCTCAGGGCTAATCTTCCTCAAAAAAAAAAACACTATTCAAGATGGAAACTGCCTAACGCCTCCTAACCTTGCAGACGGCAAACTGCAAAACTGTTACACTGTAAAAACAAGGTTGATTCCGATAACAGTTTTATCTTATTTTCTGACTTGCAAATCATTAATTAACCTAACCACTTAAATGGGGCGTCTACCTGAAAAATGTAACACCAAATACAATTCCTGAATGTCTCACGAAGGTGGAACAGTTCCGTGCCAAAGGCTCTTCTCTTAGAAAGCAGGCCAAGGCCCACCTTCTCATCAGACTAACCTTTTAAACGCCCTCCCGCGGAGCTACAAGGACTCTGCAAACCACAGCCGTGCTGAGAACTAGGCGGCCTCGCAGGTCCGGCCCTGAACGGCGGCACGATTTACAACACTGCTAACTGCTCACCACCTCCACCCACATCCAAATCTGAGACGGGGACGGGAGAGACGCCATTCCCCTACACTGGCTCCTGCAGACCCTCGATCCAGGGAGGGTTCTGCAGTTGTAACTACACCCTAATAACCCCCAGTCCCGACGTACGGTTCTGTTTCTTTGGCCTAGGTAACCCTAATGAACACTCTAGAATGACGTATACTCAGGATGGAGTCAGGGGACTGACCCACAGCAGACCACCAACAGGCTCCGGATAGTCTTAGTCCCTGTATTAGCTTTTTGTCCTATTTTTCCTCGGGGCCCCCAACCGCGCCCCGAACCTTCCCACCCCGGGCGGATTCCTCGGAGAAGCCTCGCGGAACGCCGGCGCCCGTCGTCTGTCCCAGGCTTCCAGCCCCAGCCCGCAGGACAAGGCCGCCCCTCCCCAGGCCTGCGCTCGCCCAGCCGCGGGACTGGACGCGCCCCAAACCCCACCCCTGCTCGTCCCACCCCCGCGCCCAGAGCCCCGCGGGGGAGGGGGAGGGGAGGG